TTAGTTCATGACTAATTATCCCATATACATGTTATCACATATGCACAAAAGTGGGTTCCTAATTCTTTAAACCTTCTTTTTGTCATCTAGCCCCCGTTTGATTCCGATTCTTTGGCTATAAAAATTAAAAATATAATCGTTATCCATCACATCAAACCACTATATTTGACTTTCTATTCCTTGTGTGGGTCCTATAACGACTATATTTTTCATTTTCATTCTTACAAAAATGGATACCAAAAATATGTATTTTAGATCGTAATTCAAACCCAAGGCACCACATAGTTATAGCCCTTGATTGAGCCCCATTTTTGAGTGAAAGAATGCATTTTGAATAATAGATTGATTGAGAATGTGCAGTTAAAAATTAAGGAAATTTTTTTGGTTTGCATGTAATATTATTTTATTAAAAAATGTATGGTTACTTGAAGTGCACAAATATAATATGCATAATGCAATTAGCGGATTCGTTTTGAAATTCAAATATGAATCTAATCCTATAATTCTGATTTTATATGAACAGAACATATAATGCATGAACACCTAAATAAAATTTCATACCAGAATGAAATAAGAAAATTTAATCAAACTATGCCTGCAATACGTGAATTGATTTATTGAAATGAATTCACAAATGCAACCTAACTATGCATAATCAAATATGCAAGTTCACTTTCTGCCAACTTTCAATATGCATTAGTATGATAATACAATTATGAAGTAAATGAATGAATAAACACATGAGATCTATATATAGATGTTGAAAATGATTATCTCAAAAGACATAATCTATAGAAGAGACATGTCTCTTAAAAAATGATAATGCCAAAAGTCAGAAGCTTTCATATAGAAAAATACATTTTCAGCCAAATAATTTCTAGAACATTCCATAATATTCTACGTAATTTTTCAATAATTCACGTATTTAAATGACTTAAATTTGACTTAATTTTTCATTTACCAAATAACAATTTCCACTTAAATATTTAAGAATTGGTCAAAACTGATTTATATACAAATTTCCAAGTTCCAACGGACTTCTCATTGGGCACATTCTGTACAGAGGCCCATTGAACCTGTTCACTCAATTCTTATCCTTGATATAGATTTATACTCTTTTTCTTTTCTGGTTTGTCCATATTCTATCTTACCAAATTGATGCATACCACATATCCTTTACCAGCTGAGAATACCAATTTTGTTTTCACCTACATGGCTTCTTCAATTCCTTCATTTAGGTTCATGGATTCAATTCAATTTCGTGAGATTTTTTGGGATTTTTTATTGTTACAAGGATCCATCTCTAATTTACCTGTTATCATGCCCATGGTACATAATGGAATCTTGTACCACATTTTGTGCCAATCTTCCAATAGGTATAACATTTTCAAGAGAATCAACTTTATTGCTTAGCCTTCATCTCTTGGAATGGAATTTCAATCACGATCTCCCAATTTCAAGTAAATAAGCAAACATCATATTGCTTTTATGGCATATCTATTATGAAGTATTGTACATGTTCAGGTAGTTAAACAAGTTAAAATCCTGTTTATTAAATTCAATTGGCATTCAAGAGGTTCCTCCGTTTCTTTAACTTGGGATAAGGACCACCATTAAAGGAAGAGGAAGAGTAAGACAGGTTCTCGATTCACAAAAAGATTTACATGTATCTTTCAACTAATCATTGGAACCTTATAATATACTAAGGCACACTACGACTTGTAATGAGGATATCCTCATTCCCTTTTGATTTTTCCAGCCGTCCTAGGCATCAACATGCAAGAAAACGTAGTTCTTGTAGAATCTTTATGTCGCAATCTTAACAACAATTAATCATGTTAAAAGATTTATCACATAAATTGCTCATTACATGTTTGATATGTTGGACTGGACTGGACTGGACTTGACAAGACAAGAATGAGAACGTTAAAAAATCTTGTTTGTGTTTGCCCTTTAACATGCATGCCAAACATGAAGTATTAGAGCACATTTCTAATCCATTCTAAGTAGAAATTGATAGATTTTCACTATTTCAAAATTTCTACAAATTTAAAAAACTTCTTTGATTCTTGAAAAAACATCTTCATTTTCACAGGTAGTTTTGTGGACCTAGAAACGAACATACCTAAAATGGTGGAGACGACTCTAAAATCCCACTTGCTGCTAAAATCACATGTTCACGCAAATGCCACATCTCCAACCTTTTCATATCTGCTGCTACCAAAATCTTTGCATTTTTCCAAGGCAGATATTTATGTTCATCCAGTGACACAATGCTCTATAGAGATTGAGACGTATATGCCACGTTGGGATAGACTCCTGCCAATGGGAGGGGACCATGTGTTCCTCTTAGAAACCAGGGCTCATGTGGCCCTGACCAAGAAGAATAATTCGACGGTTTTGCTAGATGGAGAGGGCCTATCCGTCCAAGGCTTCGATGTGGCGCCACCTATAGGTGGGGGCGCTTGTTGGGGCCACATTGTCTCCCCGTTCGAACAGGGCTGACATGGCTCTGTTTGAACAACTTTTTACATAATTCAAAATCATTAGATTTTCATGAAAAATGAACTCGATGACCTGTCCACGATGAGACGTGCTGAAGGTTAAGTTTAAAAAATATTCAATATCTAGAATGAAATAAAGATCTTCTTAGATAGTACAAACAGTACTTTTGTAACCCAACTCAAAAGTTTCGAAAAGAATAAGATTCCGTCTTGATGTTTGCAATTGGGTTGCCCATAACTTGCCTGATAGCTTATATCAGCAAGATCAGTGCCGTTCATCTTTGTCATGGACATAATCAAACAAGAGAAATATTTTGCTTTCCTATCCTAACTCAAATTCGCAAGTCAATGACAAACAACTAAAGGGACAGATAACTACTCATTCATTTGATGCACATTTACAAGAATAAATATAACTTGAGGATATTCAGTAAAGAAAAAGAGTTCTATGACCAAAATATCTCCATTTAACTGATCATCTTCTCGAAACAACTATCCATTTAACCGATCATCCTCTCATACACCTACCTAAGCAAATTAGATGTGTCACTTCGCATATATATAATTAAAGAAATGAGTACAATTTTATTTGACTGTCTTTGTTGACAACATTACATTCATCCATTCCAAAAACTGTGATTCCGAATTTTGACAATATTAACATTGTCAACCATAATTATCAACAAGATGGTAAACCAATATTTCAGAGAATCTGCAAAAAGAAAAAAAAAATAATAAAATCATTCCTTAAACATCACGAAATCAATATCACAGTGAGTGGAACAGAAGACTTTTTATGAGATACAGATTAAAAAATGAAGAAGAAAAAGAAGAATTTCTGGTTAAGAATCTACACAGGATAATGCATGTCCCACTTTTTTGGACTAGAAAACTAAAATAATCATTTCACGGACTTAATAGGCCGGCTATAATATATTGCTCGGAATAATTGTGTCATTGGTTCTCAACTTCTTGTTCGAATGGCTAATCGATAATCAACCTTACGTCAATTAAAGTTGTCTAAATCTACCGATCAAAATAAATAAATAAATAAAAATTGTCTGAATTTCTCTTATATTTGATATACGTTTCATTTTATGAAGTTAAGTTTTGTTTAAGACTCTAGAAAATGATTTAATGGAGATTGTCAGCTGAGGAGTGAACACGTAACTATAAAGAAAGATTGAGAGTCGAATAGTTCTTTTAAAGGTTTATGATCAATTATTCGAATGGTAGAATGAGTACAAATATTGCGATTCTCCTCAATTTCTTAGCTCAATTTTTTCAAGGCATATCAAACGATATCTCTTACATAGTTAGATGTTCACTTTTGTCATTCGTATTGTGCTTGTTATTGTGGAAATGACAGTGTGCATGAACAGTTTTGTGCGAGTACGAGAAAAGTAGAATAAGCACTTCTTGATTAGGAATTTCAAAAATTTAAGTGTAGGAAGTGTTTTTTGCCAACATTGGATAATTATACAACTTATCTATAGGACTTGTTCATGTACAACTTAGACCATACAATAAAAGAGAATAACAAAAAGCTTTTGTACGGCCATTTGACTCAGTCCACAAAATTAAATAATATATTATACATAATTCATTTAATTTTTCACCTAATTAATTGACTAACAGTTACATTGCTTTATTGAGAGGGTATGTTCTTTTTTTCTTCCCATAACGTGCTTGTGCTTGAAGGTACTACCCACTAATTCCGGTAGTTAAAATGTAATTATGTAGGCGATTTCTATAAACCAAACACGTGAACAATTTTTGATTAGCTGATTTCATATACTAAATTAGGAAGTCCAATGCTCAAAGTTTTGATTATATAGATTATAGTCTTTGATTAGTATAATGTTTACCTTGCCGTAAACTTCCTCTCGACTCCATTCCTTTTCATGAAATTTCTCATTTAATCAAACGACTCACATAGTTAAGAATTACAAAATAATAGTTTTGAAAAGTCTAAGATGCATATTTGGATAATTTTTTAGTAATGTTCTCTAATTAGAAAAACTTTTATAATCGTGAGGGTATAATTTACCCGACTTAATATTGAAATAAATAAAGAAGATTCATATCATTATGAGAAGTAGGATTTTATTTTCCTTGAAATTCTCTCTCTCTCTCTCATCAATTCCCACTTTCTCATCTAATTATCAATAAAAAATGGATAAGTATAATATTTTCTCGGTTGAAAATTAAATTAATCAAACACGTTTAATTAATAATTTTCATACAATTAAGTTCTAGGCAATTAAATTATTTAGAATTTATTTTCTTTCCATACAAATTTCATTCTTGCAATCGAATGAACTTTTTATTCTTTACGAAAATGGGTGAGATTATAAAGATTCTTCAAAATTATTTCAAGCTTCATCTGTGGTTCTTATTTTTCAATTAGTGCAATTTTATCAGCCAATTGGCAGGACCCCACCTCACCCTCCCCTTCTTATAAATAACCAGTCATCTTCTGCACAATCTGCTCGTCATTTCTTTCTCATTACATTTCTTGTCATCTTTTCCCTCAAATTCAGCAATCTTCTTATCTTAGTTTCATAGAATTTGGCGACTGATATTATATATATAGTTACAAGGAATTAATGGCATCTAGTTCGATAACATCCCATGGTTCGCCCACTTGGACTGCTAAGGAGAATAAGGCGTTCGAGAAGGCATTAGCAATTTACGACCAGGACTCACCCGACCGGTGGGCGAACGTGGCAAGGGCTGTGGGCGGGAAAACCCCGGAAGAGGTGAAGAAACACTATGAAATCCTTGTTGAGGATGTCACGTATATTGAGAATGGTCACGTGCCTTTTCCCAACTACAAGACCACCATAGGCGACGACAATCGAGGCAGTAACATCAACGCCCAGGATTCAGGAACAAAGGTAGTAGTATAAACACTACATTTTCGGTCCGTACCCTAAATAAATAAGATTTTTACTTTTTTTTTATGCAATATTATTGAGTACTGCAAAAGTTTACTCTGTATCCATATAAGGATTTACTCGAGCTATTGAGATATTTTCAAATGTAGCATTCCATCCACTATGAATCCTTCTATTTGAAGTCATATTCTTCTACATTTTCTCATCTTGTATTTTGTCACGTCTTCAAACCTAGGAAATTGTCGGTCATTTATGGTCGAGGGTACAAAGGTACGTTCGTAGCCTCCTATTCTAATTATCCAATATGGTTTCTTTAAACTGCACCCCAAAATTGAAATTCTACCCTCCAAATTACACGTTTTAATTACTTGTACATTTTTACCTTGTACTTTATAATTAATTAATTTAAGAAACATACACAAATTTATGACTTTATTCACGAATCATCCCCAAAAGGCCTTGTCTTAAGGGGGCCACAAACGTAATTTTCAAAGTTTTAGGAAATCTAGGTTAGGTATGCACATTTTCTTCTGCACTTTTTTCGTGCTATTTATTACTTCACGTTCTTTAATATAAACTTTTCTTTTCGTTTGTCCTAAATTATAAATCACTTTTCTCCTGAAGAGTATAGTTGATTTCTTAATGTCCCTATTTAATATGTTTTGTTATCCATAAATATGTACCATCCATCCAAATCACAACATTACGGACGCCGAGTGGATCCCAGCCTAATCTATTTCTATTTCTATCTCTTACCCGCTCAATGTTCGAGATGTTGCATTTGATCGATTCGAAGTCCTAAATGTAATGATTTGAATGAAATATGTGCATATAAAATTGTCTCACTGAAATATCTCATAATACCCGGTTGAAAAACGAGGAAGATAACATATCCCAAAAGTAACAAAAGCTCATGTAATTGTTGTCCACTAATATTATGTGATTTTTGTAGTTTAGGCCAAGTGACAAGACAAAGCGACAACATTGAGATTTTAGCAAACGTGGATCAATTTCGAACTATTAGTTAGGTTCATTCAAAAATCAGCAATTTACAGCCTGGGAACCGCATCTGAACTTGACACTACACCCAATATGGTGGAAGCAAACTTCGACCCTCTAATCATTGAAGCTTTTACACCAATCTAATCAATATCAGAACATATCACGAACATACAAAAGACAAAATTTTAATAAATCAGCTAGTATAACACATAGTAAGGTTATTCAGTCATTGTAGATAATCAACGTTGACGGCCCACATGCATCGACTCAGAGTCACTATCATTCATGCAACTTGAAGGCCATTGAGGTCGACTTAGGGTCACTTCCATTTATGTAACTTGAAGACCATCGACACACATATATCTTTAATTAAATATCGAGAAATGATTGAAAAATGCGTAAACCAGATGTATCACAAATCATGTGATTTTAATTTGTTAGTGGCATAGTAGGCTATCGTACATTTCCAAAGGAAATTAATTATGATTATTGAATTGGCTTGCTCAAAATGGGACACACGACCCCACAAAGATTAAGGGAATTAATCAATTAATGGTCATTGAGAATACACCTTGCAAGAAGTTGAGCCATTCCACATATTCATTGAATCAAAAACTCTTACAACTTGCTTACATGATAAGAAAATTGTACATTTATGCATCAATCAAGTGTACATATTAACATGCTAAGATTGTTTGAAGTGGCAGAAAACTTTTCACTTCCTTGCTCTCGAGACGACCTTCTACATGCCAAACATTTAAAGACGATGAAAGTTTATCAATTCAAATTAAATCCACGATAATTAATAGTGGCCAATATTATTAGAATATTGGTTGGTTCAACATGAATTACCATCCAGAAAGATATAAGTACAACCAACATATTTTGGTTGATTCTGTAAGTGTTATGCCCTAAATCCAATCGATTTAGGTTGTAAACGCTTTTAATATATTTAATGCATTTGATTTTGGCAAGATCTATTTATTTAAATTAATTTTGTGATAAATAATATTAAATAATAGAATCCGAAGATCCAATTTTTAGGTAATCTGTTAATCACAAGGAGTTGTGATTGTGAGATACAAATTACATATAATTGGATCTTGAATAAACCATGGTCGTAAGTAATAACGAGATACGGATATCGTTAATACAGTTAGATCATCACGTGTGGCATTTCTTACTTGTGAAGTAAGTAGCTGATCTCACGAGTTAAAGTGTGGTGACACTTAAATGAACACGTGGATATTTTGTTATAGAACAAAACATTGGAGACCCGCTAAGAGATTCCACATGGATAACTATCTGAGTGTCAGTGGCTAATCTCTAACGTTCGGTAGTGAAATTGGTCCTTTGACTTGAGGTCGTCATGGTACCTTATATGAGGACAGTCATACTTTGATGATGTTGGATGTTGTTCTGAAAGGGGCCGCTAATACGACATCGTTCGGGTACGTCAAGAACCGTATGAAGGCTGTGATTGATCAATAAAGGATTCGTCACTCTTAGATAGTAGGAGATTATGATCTGCATTTCATTCAATTAAGTCGATGATGAAATTCTTGGTCAAGGTGTACTCATAAGTCGAAAAGGAGTTTTCGATTTATATTGACTTAATAGTGGCGTGAAAAATATGATTAATGATCGAGATTGACACAATTACATATCTCGTAATTGATCGGATCGTATTGACGAAGGGATAATAGTTTCACGGTAAACGAACGAATTTGGTTTTGTCATACCACGTGACATTTTCCGTCACATGTATTGCCCTGACACATTGCTAGATGTCAATTAGGGACAACGAGTGTGAATTGACGATAAATTAAAAGGGTGTATTAATTTATCAATTTTGATTAGATCAAAATAGTATTTCACGACGTTAGGCATCGTGGTCGGGAACCTAATGGGTCGCACACAAAAGAGAATTGGAAGATTGCAAATTGCCAATTGGTTAATTTAACAATCGTTGGATAAATTAATTAATTGAATTTGTTATTTATATTCCCGAATTAATTAATTGGATTGATTAATTAACGGATCGGGTTTAATTAATTGGATTAATTAAATATTGGACCGAACCGGGCCGAGTCCGTTTGGGTTTATATATATACATAGTTAGGGTTTGAGGTCCATAAGGTTTTCATTATTCTTGTTGGCACAAGAGAGAAACCCTAGCAGTTGCAGTCTATTCTCTGTGTGGATTTCATTGGAGGCTGGACAATTGGACAGCTGTGGGAGGCAGATTCAAGTTGCTTGAAAGGAATAACGCGAAGGAGTTTGCAAATTACAAGAAAAGGTATATTTCTTATCACAGTTTTTATCTAAATACAAAGCTGAATCCTGAATGGAAATTGAAATTTGTTAAATTCCGCCGTGCATGTTTAAGTAAATTTCCAACAGTGGTATCAGAGCCAACTTTGTATTTGTTAGAAATTGTTTAACGTGTTGATTAAATTAAATGTTAGTTTAATCACGTTCATTCCTAAATCTAGCAAATATAGTTTTAATTTTGTCTTTTTGGGATCTGTTCTTGAAAAAAAAAAAAAGGGTCGAGAGGCGGGCGGAGCCTCCGCGCGTGCGGGCGGCGGGCGTCGCAATGCTTGCCCGCGCTGCAACCGACAGCGCATTAGCAACGCCTCGCGCTGCTGGTTATTTCAGATGCGACGCCGCCCCAGAAAGAAATAAAATTTTTTTTTTTTGATTTAGGGTTTTAGTGGAGACGGGGGCCTCTGTTGCAAATAATGTAATTAGGGGCCCCTAGTTGCATTTACAAAAAAGGGGTCAATTTGTAATTTTAAAATCAGGGACCTATTCTGTAAATTTTGATTTTGGAAGGGTCTGCTGTTAATTTCCAATTTGGGTAAAATTTGTAAAATTTCAAAAAGGGTTTTGATTTTGAATTTTGAATTGTTTTAAAAATGTGTTTTAAATTGGGTTTGACCCATACCCTAATTTTGGCCCAGAATTAAAAATTTATTTAAAAATTTGACGACTTTTATATTTTTGTTAAAATTAGATTTTAACTTAAATATTTAGTTTGACCCTTAATTGAATTTTATTTTGTTAGGAAATTTTGTCCGAAATTAAAATATTAATTCAATTTTATTAGAGTTGAACTCTAATATTACATTAATTAAAATTTGTTTTGAATTAGCACCACTTCCCTATGCAAATCAGTACTTAGAGTATGACTCTAATTTAATAATTAATTAAAATTCGATTTTGATTAAATTACTTCGCCAAATAGTTATGGAGTTAGAGTTGGACTCTAATTCGGGATTTAGTTAAAATTTGATTTTAATTAAATAGGCCCTTCAATTAAATTAATTAATTAATATGATTAATTAATTGTTTAATTATCTCGATCCCAAAATTTTGATTCAATTTTGACGACTATAATTGCTAGATTTATGAGACATTGCATACAATATTAGATATTATACATAGGAAACATTTATGTGATGAATGTTTGTGGATGATTATGGCTCGACCATATTGATGTGTTGAATGGTTGATTTACTTCTTAATGTCGTTGTGGGCCTGCGAGCTCCTTATTAAATATTGGACCTGCGAGTCCGTTATTATTGTTATTATTATAGGTTTGCGAGTCTGATTTCTTTTAGGCCTGCGTGCCAACTAGTATAGGATGCATGTTGCAAGTTCGGCTAATTGGAGGCGCAAGAAGAGGTGGACACCATGGAGATGGTGTATTGGTATTGGTCTAATACTGTACCCCTTAGGAATTGATCAACTAGTTTTCCTTTTGGATTGGGAAAACTAGATAGAACAAGTCCATAATCATCCATACTATTACTTATATATATATATATGTATTTATGTGCATAGTTGATGTATGTTTAAATATATGTATATATATATAATTGTTTGATGAGACCATTGCACATTAAATCCCTCGTTAAAAAAATTATTAAGTTAGTATTATTTGCCTTCCATCATTATAGTGAAAAACGAGAATCCTAAATCGACCTTAACTTGTTGAGTACACTCAAGGTTGGTCTATTAGGGATATGTTTGATACTATGAAATATTTGATATTTCTGAATGATGGGTTTAACTTAACTAAAATTTATCTTTTGTTGAGTACACTCAAGGAGAAAAGTTTTAGAGGCATGTTAAGTTAACACATAAGATGTGTGAAGACAAAAGAGTTGTCAGCTTAATGATCTGGGAG